ATAATTTTTATCGAGAAAATAATAGAGCAATAGTGTCTTATTTTTCGTTCGATAAATGAAATTTTTTACCAAATGAAAATTATGCTCTCATCTCTGATAAGAATAGAACGGTGACGATCGAAAAGCGAAATCGAAGAATGGAAGATAGAGCAAATACTCGATCACGCGGAGTATTCAACGTGCAACATAATCAAGATAATTAAATCGTGATACCGTACGAGTTTCATTGAAAAGTTGTTGAAAAAAATGATGATTCAATCTTGTTAGTCCTGGATCGACAGGAATGTTCGACATTTTATAACGATGTATTAATAGTAAGCGATTAATCAAAGTGTACGGATTGAATTATCTCTGAGGATCTTGAGTAGTATACACAGGCTGGCAAAAAGAATTAGATAAATATCGTGAATCTATTCTTAGATCGCAATGTACCAGCAAGCAAGGCTATAATTCCCGTCTTCGCTATTAACATTTCTGTTGCAGCTCTTCGATCGTTCTTGCATCTCTTTTTATATAACACTTTATTCTTATTTCTTCGAAATACATTAACAGGCTCTGTTTATACCATTTATGTTTCGGGTTCTGTGTTATAGTTCACCTTCAAAAAATATTCACAAGCATTCTTGGACCCCAGCTGAAACGCGACTATGTAATTAGGAATTTTTCTTGATTAAACTTCGCCTCGGTTTAATTGTATCTCGTGCGTTTTAATTCGTCTCTACGCCCCGTTGACTGAGTAACGTTAAACGTCTTGCATCGTGCTTCTTCTCTCGCTCGCTCTTTCGTTAACCTCCCCGCGGAGCGACGAAGATAGGCGGAAATGGACAGAAGAAAGAGGGGAAAAAAGAAAAACCCAGGGAAGAGGTGGAAGGACAGAGAAAGAGAAAAAGGAGCTCCACGTGCCATTCACAAGACTGCACTGGCAGCGGAGCAACGAAAAGACAAGATATACACAGGGACAGAAAAACAGGAGCGATCCCTTGATATAAGGACGGATTTCTCCCTCGATATAAGAACGTCAGTATCTTTATGAGAGTATCGTAAATGAATTGAAGACGTTCTCCTGGTTAAAAAGAGATCAAACACGGCCATATTCGGACTAGTTTTAATTATGGATGGTTAAGAAATTTTTTGTAAAGATATAATTAAAAGTAGTTCGAATGCTGCCGTGTTTGTACTCATTTTAAGGGGGTACGCTGAATTAGGAGGTCTATAAAAAGCGGTTTTTCGTGAATTTTTTTAGGATGGAAAAAAATAATTAATTTTATCGAAGTATTTATCCTATTTTCATACATATTTGACTAGTCTGTACAAATTTTTTGAGTCAACTGCGACGCACATTTGTAAAGCACCTCACGATTAAAACCTCCTATCGGCGAGAAAGATGCAGGTCGTAATTTTAGTTTGACACGGAAAAACCAAAAGAAATTTTCATTTTTATACATTTTTCTTCTATGTGAACTAAGAAAAACCCGCAAAATTGGTGAAATGTGAAATTACTGCAAGTTTGAAAAAAAGAATGAGTTCTTTGGGTGAAATAAATCACTTTAACTTGATAAAAAAGATGTTTAAAATTTTTTTTGTATGAATTTTCTTAGTTCACATAGAAGAAAAATGTATGAAAATGAAAATTTCTTCTGGTTTTTCTGTGTCTTGTTGGAAAAATTTGTACAGACTAGTCAAATATGTATGAAAATGGGATAAAAATTTCGATAGAATTAATTATTTTTTTCCATCCAAAAAAAATTCACGAAAAACCGCTTTTTTAGACCTCTTAATTCAGGATAACCCCTTAATCGCGAGAATTTCACGAATACAAAGATGATATTTTCGTTATGATATCACGAAGAATTCTATAAGTAATATAATTAAAAATAGAGGTCATGTGAAGCATTATTAGAATCACGTACGTTGAGTGGACCTGAAAAGTGCCAACAGAAATTCTTGATGTTTACGTTCCTACTACTAATACATTTTCGAAACGTTGTTAGTTTTTTTATTCGAATTAGGGAGAAGTTAATGGGATGGGGTGGAGAATAGAGGCGTTCCATAGAAGACGCCAAAAATATATACGAGCGGGGGCGAGAATACAAAGAGTAGCGGTGAGAGAATTTAGAAAACCAACGTGGCGATCGCATATCGCGATACAGCCAAATTTAGGAGGCCGATGGAGTCTTCTGCCGCCTGCCCTGCAAGCCTGTTTTCCGGCGCACTATGCCGCCTACGTGATTTAGCCTCGTTAACTCGACTGGAGCGTTAAATAAATTGTAACCGGTACCTGTTTCTATAATTCAGTTTGAAACACATTCGAAAATTAATGGCAAGGTAGTTTCAAATAACATCTATCGAATATATTAGGTGTAGAAATTAATTCTGTGCGTTTATATTCAATAATTTTCTAGTTTAAAAAGATATGCTTCCTCGTCATTTTGGTACATCAAAGTACGAACCTTCGATTAACTTATTTTTTATAAACAATGACATTTTACATTTTCTCGGAAATCTCTAAAATAGATAGATTACAAAAAAAATAGCTATTTATGTAAGTTGCGAAATTGACAAGAAAAAAACAATTAACCGATGGAAATGTTGAAGCAATAAGTATTCGCATAACTGTTTAAAAGTACTTTCCTGGAAATTTGATGTTTTCTAATTGGTACGGAGCAATAAACTAATGTGTTTACGTTACAAACTCTACTGTAAATGGTTCGTCATAAGAATCGTACAAATACTTATTGCTTCTATACTTGTACCTACTTTCCGCATTATTTTTTGTTAATTTTACAAATTATATTAACTAGTAAATGTTGTTTGGACTATATCTATCTTAGAGACTTCCGAGAATATGTAAAATATCATTGATTAGAAAAAAAAAAAGTTAAGAAACTACAATTTCGCACAAAAGTTTTTTGGGAAATTGATCGATGTAGGAATACATTTTACATCCATTGTATAAGTCTCAACCTGATGGTCATTGCAATGGAGGGGTCCTTGGGAAATTTGAGAAACACTGAAATGGAGCACGGCACCTGCGACGTTGCGCCGTCATTAGTTATCGCGGCAATAGTAACTAACCGGTCACGTGCACTTTTCTAAGGAGCACTTCCGTCGAAATAACCTAGCTAACGACGTTGTTTCGTCGCGAGGCTGTCGGACAGCTCCGAAACGCGTCATCTTTGTGTGCTCGTTGATAAAATATCGCTTAGAAACTTCAATATTTATACGCCCGACGTTTCGCGGTACGCGTCGCGCGCTTATCGCGATTAATTGCGTATCTGCATACGAATGTCGTTTAATTAGGATGACTTCAGCGTAAACCCTGGAACAGACTACAAAGCAACAGCGTCTTCCACGGGAAAAGTGTTGCGTAATCTGTTCTGGGAACGAATAACAATAAAGTCCCACGGAGGAAAAGCAGTTTCGATTTTCAGATTTTAGAAGTGAGAATGGATAAGGAATAGGTTTGGGTTAGGTTTGTTATTAAATAAATTTAATTGGAAAAATGTTCAGGAAAGAGCTGGACTTTGTTGGAGAGCAGAGTATAGTTTGTACGGCACGAGGACGAACACGGCAACAATTATACCGAATAGAATAGAACGCCTCTGTAAGCGGAACTAAACGAAAACGGTACATCCCACGATCTGCTGGAAAACTTCTTCTGAGCCGCGTCCATGCAATGCCAGTTCTCACAAAACCGTATCAGATCAGATAGAAACTTCTCCTGATCAATTCTCTTTAAGATTCGCTTGAAACAGTTTTTGAAATTTTTGTCCGAATAGCAAATATGTATTAGAAAAACCATAAAATGACAAGAGGAAACTATAGGGACCTATAGATCGATATTGCTCAACGTTTAACTTGGTATTGATACGAGGGTATGAAACTTAAATACGTAGTTTCATTGAAATCCATCCATCCGTTTAGGTGTAATCGTGTTAAGATACATATGTACTGTTCGCGCGCAAGAAGAAGGCATCTGGCGATACCTGGTACTCTTCTCGCGCGTGAACTGCATATATCCACACCGTACTCGTGGAGCTTATAAAGAAATCGTTTGACGAAATATACTGGCGTAAAAGAATTGCTATGTCTCGAAAAAGAATATTTGTAGGGGATGCAATTTCCTTGCACCCCCTCCTGGTGCCACTGAACACTGAAATAATCCTCTGGCAGTGGCACATCGTACAATAGGTCGACATCTGTCCAGTGTCCCTGACCAAAGGACACAAAATCAATGTTTCGAAACTCATTCTGTTACCTTTGTATAGTATATGAAGAATTTAACACGAAAACAATAACATAGCTGGTAAAAAATGTAAATAAAAGTATCGAATTTTATTTTGGTTTGGAGGGAGCACAAAACGCCACTGTACATACAGATTCTGTCAATCCGGAGCGACGGCGAAAAATCTTATCTGGCGTTACAGATTACGATTTAATTTTCCAAAGCACCGAGCAAAGTTCGCTTCGCCTAATGCTCATATGAAGATGAAACGATTGTATACAACGAAAATAGTAAACTTAATCAAGACACTTCAGGATGTATAACAAAATAGTAACAAAAATAGTTTAAAATCAGAAATAAAAATAGCAATAGTGAATATTAATATCACTGCAAAAGCATTTCTGAAGATTAAAAAAAAAAAAACAAGAATTTTCATTCTCGAAACTCCGCAAATGCCTCTCCATAATCCTACAAACAAAAATGCTCGTTCTCAAATGGAACGCTAAAACCAGATTCTCCGGACTACCTGACGCGCGCGGCTCTCTCAAATCTCTCAATTCCAATTTTTATCCCGACGAGTAACGGACAACGAGTTGTTTATCTTTTATTGCTGCTCCGAAGTTTCCATCTACGGGAGAGAAGAGGGATATCGAATTAAATTCTTAAATATATATCTAATGCTTTGCAATGATATGAAAATAATCATAGAAAAATAGAGACGAAAACGGCGCGAAGATCCACCGAATTTTGGATCGCGAAACGGAGTAAAACGTACCTTGTCGAGGCACTTGAGTTCCTCGATCGGGTAGACCGTTTTCTCGCAGCGGGCGCACGTCTTGCTCATCTTCTGCTTCTTCTTCCTCCTCTACGTCGTCTTTCCTCTCTTTCCCGCTTTCTTAGGCGCAGTTCCGCGTACGTGTGTATGTCCCTGGGCCTTCTTCTTCTTCTTCTTCTTCTTCTTCTTCTTCTTCTTCTTCTTCGTCTTCTTCTTCTTCTTCTTCTTCTTCTTCTCCTTCACGAAACACTGCGCGAACGTAAAGAACACGTGTAAACACTAACGACACATCCGCGCGGATTTTCGCGTCGTGGCGAACGTGGAAAATGGAACGGTAAAACGTGTTCACGCGAAATACGTTTGTTTATGGGGATTTCACGACGAAAACCACGACTAGGGAAAAAAATGCAACGCCAAGAGAAACGCTCGTACTGCACGGGTGCCACAGAGCCGCACCAAACTGCACTGCCCTCTTGTCCTCGTCTAGCCACAAAAACTCCTTGAGTGACAGTAATGGTGGTATACCGGGCTAGTCAAACGAGCGACTAATGCGTATTTATTTTTCTTTCGTATTTCGAGGATTTTTTTTATTGAAAAATTCAGTAAACGATGCTTTAGAATATTTTGTCGATTGTATGATAGCGAATTGTGTGGTTGTTTGTTCGAGGAATGTCATTCTTATCGAAATGGCTTCACTCTTGTACGGTTCGATCGATAATGTAGATCGCGATACTGGATAAATTTGGCTCATATTTAAACGAAAAAATTCTTATATTTAGGGTTGTATAAGTGTTATAATGTTATAATTTGAACTTTGGCGTTGAATTAGAGAGTTGTATTTGAATGATTAACTTGGTTGCGTAAGAAATATTTAAACTCCAGAAGATGTTGAGATACTACGCTAGTCAAACTAACGTATAATGTCCGAATCTGTCGATAATTATATCTCCGATACCTTCGAAATTGTATATAATTTGTTGGAGAATGTATGCATTGTTATATATTCATTTAATTATTGTTGAACGCTTAAGAAATAGAATGCTTGTGAATATCGAAAGAGTATCGGTAAAGTAGGAACTTCGTGTCAGATAGAAATATAAACTCACTTTGATTTCGAATAACACCTTTCGACTTTTTTTCAACGCCTATAATTTTCCTTGACAGAATCTGTGTCATGAATAATATTCGAATTTGATACTTTTTCCTTTGGTATCAATGTGTTACGAACACTCCGTCCAGTATCGCCCTCTATGGAAGAAAGTGCGGAAAAAATCCTTACCTCGATACAGATATATTAGGTTGTCCCGAAAGTTTCTTTCGCAAGATGCATTCAATTATTTTATGTAGTCGTGTTTCTATAAATCGACAATCTAATTTCATAGATATTCATGTTGTAACAGTAATGGAGCAAAATGAATCGTGCACAATTCAGTAATGTAACATAAAACATAAAATATTATGCATGTATTACTTATTAATAAAGCGAAAGAAACTTTTGGGACAACTTAATATTTATATTTATTCCTCGAATGAAAATTAAAGTCTAAATAATTGTAAACAAATACAAATGTAACTATTCAATAGGAAACGTGTTGTATTAGAATAAAGATTGCACAACTTCATGGCAGTGAGGGTCATGTAAAAGATTCAATATTAAAGGGCACACCAATAAAATTACTTTTCCCCTTGTAAAAATTTGTAGACGACACTGAAGTCCTTTTTAGAAAATCCATGAGCGATAATCGCCCTGAAGATTTGATGCGCCAGGGAACCCATAGGGATGGTGGCTTCCACTTTGGTGGCTGCGGATTGTGCCAGTCCCAAGTCTTTGGCCATTAAAGCAGCACCGAAACCACCCTACGATTAAAAAGTAAATAAGTGGATATATAAATGTTAAACTAAAGAAATGATTATTCGGATTGGAAAGTAGTACCTCATAATTTTTGGAGCTAGGAACATTATCGAGAACCCCTGGAACTGGATTGTACAATTCAGAAGACCAGCATCTACCACTGCTCGAGTTTATGATGTCAGCCAACACCGTGACGTCTAAACCCAGTCTGAAACACGATAATTTCGATGAAACGATTATATCTATCACTCGTGATTTATCGAATCCTTCCCCGTTACTTTTGTCCAAGGTTGAACGCTTCCGCTGTACCGATCATGCTGACAGCCAAAAGCATGTTGTTGCATAATTTCGCTGCTTGACCCATTCCCACGGCCCCGCAATGTACCACCCTAGATCCCATTGATTTTAGAAGAGGCCCTGCGAGCTCCAAGTCCTTCTTTGATCCTCCCGCCATGAACGTTAGGGTGCCATCTTTGGCAGCGTTCACGCCTAAAGAAAAGTGGATTACATGCTTTTCTCATTTCACAGGATGTTTGAAATTGTACTAATTATATTTTAAAAATTCTTGATTACAATAATATATTGCTAAACATAATTTTGTACTGATATGTAGTACCTCCTGACACTGGACAGTCCATAAACCTGAGTCCAGACTTTTCAGCGTCATTTGCTATCGTCTGAGACACAAACGGATCCACCGTGCTGCTGTCGATTAAAAGAGTATCCCTCTTGGCAGACCTGCAAGCGCGAACGACTACGAAGAATGCTTGCGTGATGATATTACCGCTAATTTACCTTAATACGCCATTATTGCCACTATAGATGTCCAGAACGTGTTGATTGGACGGCAGCATCGACACAACGACTTCGACGTCTTTCGCTACGTCGGCGGGACTCGAAGCAACGTCAGCGCCTGCTGCCTTCAAATTCGACATTGCTGATTGATCGATGTCGAAGGCAACCAACATGTGGCCCTAAAATATGGTTACTTTGTTAATACAAAATAAGACCACAAGGGCGTTGAATAAAAATATTCTACGAGTTCGACTACCTTCTTCAACAGGTTCCTCGCCATATGCCCACCCATGTTACCCAAACCGATAAATCCTACTCGCGAAAAGCATCGTGATCCAGCGACTTGAAAAATGAACGTCTTAGGTGAGATAAACACATTCATCGTAACGAAATAAAATTCACTATGACGGTGAACTAATGTGTTTCTTTGATACGGTTTACTTCGCGGTGTGCAATCCCGAAGGCCGCTATAAACTACGAATCAAACGTCGACTTAATTTAAATATCAGATTCCTTGATGTATTCGAAAAGAGTGGCACACGAGCGAACACTATTGGTCTCCACGCGATCATTTCCATATAAAACACAATGAGAGTAAAATTCGTTTCGAGCACGTGGCACGCTCCGCGCGAAACTCGAAGACTATTCGTGATCGATGGTACACGAACAATGTTTACCCTCCAACCGATGAGTGTTATCAACTCTCGTTTAGGTAAAGATCTGCTTAAAAGTATCTGGCACATTCATCGTTCAACAATTTTGCATCTATTCATTTCTAAAGTAAAAGAAATATCGCATTTAGTTTCTTCTTTAATTTCTTTTTAAATTGGGATTAAGGATGATTAAAGGAGAATGAAAAGAGAACTCATTTTCGTCTAAATAAACTACTATGATCTAATCAAAAATTCCACGAATGCCTGATACTTTTGACCAGCACTGTACCAGACAATGTTGACCAATTCTATATCAGGGCTCGATAAAGTTTGTTGATGTTATTCCAACTTGCCCCCTCTCTTGCACGCGCTGTTAAAACACGTAATTAAACGCGGCATAATTATACCAAAATGTCGAGTCTTGAATGAGACAAAATGAGATCATACCTCTACCAGTAACGATACAGTAACGCGTCGATCACGCCAGGTAACTACCAATTTCTTGTGTAATCTTAAGTTCAACGTTACGTGAAGGTTACACAATTGCGTGTCAGATCATTTTCTATCACGATAAACGCACGAGATTCAATTCTGAACTTACTTTCATGTAAGAAATAATTAAATCGATGAGAATTATGATTGAATTTGATTAACCCTTTATTTACTAAATTTTTCAAAAGTTTCTAAAATCTAGGCGCCCATCTTGGTCTTATATCATCTTATGGAGTTGTCCCTGACTAGCTTCCAAAAGAAAAGAAGATTGTGCTGCCATCCGACAAATAAAAAAGGAATTTCATAGAAGTGGACTTGAACGTCACAATAGGTTTTAAAGCGTTTAATTCATACAGTACCGTGAGAAAATTGACGGGAGTTATAAGTCCCGCCACTAAATAAAGGATTAAACAGTAACGAAAATATGGTTGTAGGAATTTATTATAAATTCTAACGTCTGCGATAACGTTTTGCGGACACGTTAAGTAGATAGTGTCGCGCGCAATGTGTTACGTATTGTAAAATGAAACTTGTATAATTACACAAATGGAACATTCATCTATCTCTAGGCGTCGCAGGCTTATTAAAATCCTATTAGAATAATGAACTTAATTGCATAGCTTATATTGATCTATGTGTTCGTGTAATCACCTATTCAAACTGCTGTTCAAAAATTAACTATCATGATTGCAGTTAACTATGATTAAATTCGTGCACTTCTGTAAACAGTATAAAAACTACATATAAAACATTAAATCGTTGTATATCGGTGGATATTGGAGATCTTTTTTGTGACGTAACTATTGGACAGATTAATTTCAAACTTTCTACATATATTCAATTATGTTTGGTTAAGCTATACGAATCTTTTTAAGTAAAAATTCTCTTAATAATGCCTACGACATTCCCCATTTTTTCCCCAAACGACATTTTGTTTATTACGAAACCGAACAACCCCTTATCACCACATAAGCCCATAAAACCTAATAAAACGCTAGGGGAGACATTATCGACTAATTTCTTCCCCACTATCGTTCGCCAGGGCTAGTTTTATTACTCTGCATCGCGCGTAATTCCTTATCAACCGTGAGCCGTAAAACTTAACGGAAGGACAGCAACTAATTATTATCCGATGTTATGATGCAACATTCCTCGTCAACGGTTCGAAACATTGTCGATTAAGCATCACTTTTAGGTTTATACTTATTAATTCAATTAGTTTCAGGAATTTTATTATCAATTCATTATTGTCCAAATATTTATTATGCATTTGATAGAATTATTCATATTATAAAAGATATTAAATTCGGGTGATTAATTCGGTTAATTCATATAAATGGAGCATTAATATTTTTTATTTTAATATATATTCATGTTGCACGAGGAATTTATTACAACTCATTCAAATTTCATATTGTTTGATATATTGGAATTATTACTTTATTAATATCTATAGCTACAGCTTTTCTAGGATATGTATTACCTTGAGGACAAATACCATTCTGAGGTGCAACAGTTATTACAAATTTATTATCAGCATTTGCATACATTGGTCAAACTATAGTAGAATGAATCTGAGGAGGATTTTCAATTAATAATGCTACCTTAAATCGATTTTATTAATTCCATTTTATTTTACCCATAATTATTGTAATTTTAGTTTTCATCCATTTAATTTATCTTCATATAACTGGTTCTAATAATCCATTAGGAGTAGATTCTAACCTTTATAAAATTTATTTTCATCCATATTTTACTTTAAAAGATATTCTTTGATTTATAATTGTTATAATAATTCATTGAATTATTATTATACAAATACCTTATTATTTGGGAGATCCGGATAATTTTATTCCTGCTAACCCTATATCTACTCCCGAACATATTAAACCAGAGTGATATTTTTTATTTGCTTATTCAATTTTACGGGGTATCCTTACCAAGCTTGGAGGTGTAATTATACTATTTATATCAATTATAATTCTTTTAATCCTTCCTTCAACTTCTAAAATTCATAAAATCAAAACAAATATATTTTACCCTTTAAGTCAAATTACATTTTGAATATTTGCAAATACATTTATTTTACTAACATGATTAGAAGGTCAAATAATTGAATATCCATATACTGAAATTAGTCAATTCTTTACTTTTATATATTTTTTTATTTCACCTATTTTAAATTATTATTGAGATAAATTAATATTTTATAACTAGTTAATAAGCTTAAATAAGCATATATTTTGAAAATACAAGATAGAAATTAAATTCTATTAACTTAATATTATAATTAATTCTTTAATACCGTAAATAAAAATTAAATAAATTAATGATATTGACAAAAACTTTTTCCAACACTTAAATATTATTTTATCATATCGAACGCGAGGTAATACTCCTCGAATTCAAACTACAAAAAAAAACATGAAATATATAAACTAAAATAAATTTAAAAGAAAAAAAATTAATTCCAAAAAATAATAAAGTAATTAAATTTCTCACAAAAATAATTCTTAAATATTCTGCTATAAAAATTAATGCAAACTCACTCCCATAATATTCAGTATTAAATCCAGATACTAATTCAGACTCCCTCTCAACTAAATCAAAAGGAGTATGATTTAATTCAATTAATATTCTAATTCAAAACATCAAATATAAAGGAAATAAATAAATAATAAAAAATAAGTTTGATTGAAAAATATAAAAACTATTTAATGAAAATCTTTCAATTATTATTAATAAAGAAAATAATATTAAAAATAATTTAACTTCATAAGAAATTGACTGAACAATTGAACGAATTGAACCTAATATAGAGTAATTAGAATTAGAAGATCAACCACTTAATATAAAAAGATAAACTCCTAAACATATAATTCTTAATAAATATAATACTCCTAAACTTATTGAATATAAATTGACATAAAAAGGAATAACTACTCAAATAAATATTGATAAAATTAAAATTAATATAGGTATAAATAAATAATTATAAAAATTTATTTTCTCAATTAAATAAAATTTTTTATTAAGTAATTTAATTACATCTCTAAATGGTTGTAATAATCCAATAATTGATAATTTATTAGGACCTTTACGATCTTGAATATAACCTAAAATTTTACGTTCAAATAATGTTAAGAAAGCTACCCTAACTAATATCATTAATATTATTAAAATAAAAAAAACAAAATTTATATAAAAATAATTTATTAATAAATATATTATTACTTATATAAATTATATATATAATTAAATTCTAAATTTAATGCACTTTATTCTGCCAAAATAATGATACAAAAATATAAAATTTTTAAAATATCTAGTCCTTTCGTACAAAAATATTTAAATTAATTAAAGATAGAAACCGATCTGGCTCACGCCGATCTGAACTCAAATCATGTAAGATTTTAAAAGTCGAACAGATTTAATTATTAAATTACTGCACTTAAAATTTATCTTAATTCAACATCGAGGTCGTAATTATTATAAATTTGATCTTTCCAAAAATATTACGCTGTTATCCCTAAGGTAATTTATCTATTATTATTTATTAAATACTCTTTACAAACAAAAATTATTGATAATTATATAATAAAGTTTTATAAATTTAACAATCCTCCCAATTAAATTTATTAAATCTTAAAATGTAAATATAACAAAATTAAGATTTAATAAATTAAATTCTATAGGGTCTTCTCGTCCCTTAATTATAGTAAAGTAACTATAATAGTAAAATAAAATTATATAAAAATTACAGGTTATCCCATAATTTATAAATAAATTCATAATTTATTTTTAAAAAATAAAAAAAATTAATAAATTTATCTAAATTAAATTTATTTTTAAAATAACTAGATATCAACAAAATCGATTAACTTTTCATTTCTATTTAAATATTTCAAATTATAATAATACATAAAAAACAATAATTAAAATAAATTATAAAATTAATAATTTAATTTTAATAAATCCTGATACAAACGGCACAAAAATAAATTTATAATATACAATAAATCAAAAATTCTTTCACAATACTAAAACCTATATATTAATTAATTTATTAATCATTTTACTAAAACTTAATTATATAAATTTATTTTAATAAAAATAAAATTTATTAAATAAAATTAATACTAAATCCGTTTAATTTAATAAATACGTTAAATTTTAATTTTTTGTCTAAAAACATTTTCCAATACTTTTACTATGTTACGACTTTTTCTATTCTAAAAATAAAAATGATGGGCGATTTGTACACTTAATATAATTAACTTCAATATAATTAATTAATTATATTTACTTTTAAATCCATTCTAAGTAATAAATTAAAAACAATACAAATCAATTAAAATAAAATTTAATGTAACTTATATAAACTAAAATATGCTACATTTAGATTTGAATAATAATTATAATTAAAATTATTAAAAATAACATACTTATAAATTTTTAAAACAACAATACATTAACTAAATTTTAGTAAATCCTTTCGTGGAATATCGAATAAATATACAAGTTCCTCTAAACAAATTAAAAAGCCGGCATATTATTTAATTTTAATGATTTACATTTAATCAATAATTAATTTAAAAATTTTATATAATAGGGTATCTAATCGTAGTTTAAATTTAAAATTATACATTTAAACAAATTCAATAATTAAATTTAAAAACTATTTAATTATTTCACCAAAATTAGTTTTAACTACAAAAATTTATCAATAAACACTTAATACTAATTAAATTTTAATTAATACACAAGTTAGGTTCAACCGCTACTGCTGGCACCTAATTAATCCTTACTAAATTCAATTACTAAATAAAACTTTCATTCAATCATATTAATTATAAAATTTAAATAAAATATTATCTAATTTATTAAAAATCTATATAAATTTAATCAAAATAATTAATTTATAAACTACAATAAAATATATAAAATTTTTAAATACAATTAAATCCTTTCATTGTAATAGAAAAATTTTAAAAGTTTAAACTAAAATTTTTCTTTAAAACTAAAAGTAATCCACAATTTTAGTAAATTTCTAAATTTTATAAATAACTTTAAACACTTATTGAATAAATTCTTCAAAATTCATAAAATATTTAAAGTAAAATAAATTACATTTTTTATAAATTAAATTTAAATACAAATATAATTTATGAGGATTTTAATATATACTTATTTTTAACTCTAAATAATGTAAAGTAAAATAAATTACATTTTTTATAAATTATATTTGTATTTAAACTATTATTAATTAATTAGAATTATATTTTATAATGATATACATTATTAATTAATATATAATTAAATGTAAAACTTAACGGAAGGACAGCAACTAATTATTATCCGATGTTATGATGCAACATTCCACGTCGACGGTTCGAAACATTATCGATTAAGCATGGTCTGTAACGATAGCTTGTCAGCAAACTACTGTAATTGAATTCGTCCTTGCACTCGTTATCTGCCGTCAAACTGCACCCTGGACGTTGGCGTTTGTATGCACAAGGGTGTCACGAAATTGCAGGTACGGATACGTCCAGCAGCCTTTGCGTGGGTGTTTGCGTCACCCTCCTCGAATAATTCACCTTGAGAACCACCATCCCCATTCCCAGAAGGGATCCTTGAAGACTTGTCACGTTTGCGCGTTGTTGAGAGTGGCTTGTGAAAAAGTTTGCCGGACGAGATCAGAAGACCCAGAGGCGGAGGACTCAAAGGTGAAGGGTTCTCAAAAGGATCGTCGTTTATTCGAAGAGCACTGTAATTGAGAGGATCGCAGATCGCCATGAAGGCTAATTTTTTGTTTTACAATTGGACTCTGTTGATTGCTTCTGTCCTGTGTGAGAAGAGAGGTTTCCTCGATCCTGAGGTCGTATCCTGGATCTCTAACGAGGATTTTAGGGTGGTTATCCAATCGTCCTTCCGTTTTTCAAAGTGCTGCAGTGTCCTCTTTAACGGTTGGTAGAATCTATGGTGTTGACTGTCATGGTTGGTTACTGGTGCCTTTGAGCTTGGAACTCATTTTAGAATAGTTATAATTAGTGAAGTTGAATACTTGTGAATTTTTAAATGGAGGTGATGTAGTTAGAAATGCTAGATAATAGTGACTCCAATGGAGAATCGACTATTCCTATTTTTCACGTTATAGTAAAGCGTGAGCAAATGTATGGTAATTAACGTGTCTTAGGTTGATTTTCAAGTTTTAGTATGACTCCTGCATTTTCTTCAGACTCGATCGAGGCCTCGAGAGTCCTGTTTAATCAGTTCAGAAGCGTTTATCAGGGGGTATACCTCTTGGAACGAAGTGTCAGTGACTGCAGTGGGTACCTCCTGTTGGGATCGAGCGACGAAGAAATCAGACAATTCTTGAACAAGTGAGATTTAGCAGGACGTAATAAAACATTTCATTAAAACACGAAATAATTCTTCCAGAATACCAACGTTACTCTGGAAAACGGAAATCGTGATCATCGTGAACGACAACCTGTCAAGTACTTCCGGTATATTCGATGACTCCTTGTACGAAATTGCAAACGTGAATATCGTCTCCGTGACTGGAATATGGAGTCTGTCGGAGAACTACTTGAAACCCCGAATATTCAGTAAGCTTATCAGGTACAGCAACTTCACACCTCGCACTTGTATCCTCGTCTTCCTTCATACTCGAATGATTTTTATTCGAAGCTATAGAGAACTAGAACACGGGCACGACAACTTCAATTTCCGTGGAAGGGAACTGCGAGTTTGCAGCATATTCCAGCCCCCTATGACGTACTTTAATCGCACGGTTAACAGAGTGATCGATGGAGTGCAGGCAGAGGTTTATGTAATCGATGATGGTAAACTGATTAGCTTTCTATGCTATCTATTCCCGATGGAAGAAATACTTTAAGTTATTCTTTTTCAAAGATCCGGTAAATTCATAATTGATGAAGTAACACGTTTTTACAAAACATAGATTTACATAGGGATGGTATCGAGACGCAGCTGTTCCTGGACATGGCTGAAAAATTGAATTTTACGTGGACGATTAGAAAACCGGATGGAGACACGACGTAAATACAATTATACTTTGTGGTAATTAATTTCGAAATTCTGGTTTAATATTATCTTTTATCTAAGATACGGGAGACGCTTCAATGCAACAGCGTGGAAGGATGGCATGATATCAATGCTACGCGAGAGCAAAGTACGTCTTCTGAAAATTAATTAGGTTAATTACACTTGTGAGATACGCATAGCTCGCGTACTGGGAGCAGTGAACGTTCGACAATTTTGTAATATAAACTATAAGTAGCAATCCACATTTTTATATTACTAATTTCTAATCATCTATGATTTATTTTAATTCGATTAAACCCATAATGAATTAATTTGTTCATTAATCCGCGATATCACCTGCTCTCAGGCAGATATGGCGTTTGCTAGCATCTGGATGACGCATGATCAGAACCAGTTCGTGCATTTGTCGGATCCATGGCACCAGGTGTACATCAGTTTCCTGGTGCCCCGACCACGTCGAACGACGACCTTCTGGGCCCTCACCAGGCCATTTCCAGGCACGATCTGGTCCCTCCTCGCTTCTTTGTTGCTCCTTCAAATCCTGTACATGTGCGCTCGTGCCTGGGTCGATCCAAAATATCCGAAACGTAAGTTGCTTCGAGTCAATTTTATAGAAAATTCTCTATTAAAGGAATAATACAAGTTAATTCGTGCTGTTCAGGTTACCAGAACTTCTTTGTCAGCCTCTTCGTCTTGATCGGCGTCTTCCTGAGCAGCTCAGTGCCGAGAACTGCGCCAAACAACAAGCTCCATGTACTCCTCTGGCAGGTCGCGGGTTGGTTGATAATTACTGCTTATTCCAGCAGCCTGGCGGCCAGGTTGGCCACTACGGAATACGAGGACAGGTAACATTCAAAGAATTTTCCTCCCTTTGAAGAGTTTTTAACCCCTTTCAGATCTGGCGTCCACAATTGAGGATACAACATTTTAAAATTACCGAGACTAACGTTTAGAGCGAATATCCTTAGTTGTACAGACGAAGAAAGACCAGTTTTCCTCGAAAACTATACTACTAGGATTTTTTTTTAAATTTTTTTTTCACGAATTTAATAAAAATTGATAACGTAAGAGAGCTGTGTCAATTTATGATCCAGGATCGATACCATCGACCAGTTCCTCGCAGCCAATTTGTCTTGGGGGCACATGAACCAACCACCGCCGTTTAAGGATTACTTCGACCTGACGGTACGTGAGATCCATCGTTCAAAATGACATCCTTTGAATTATAATCGCGTTTGACAATGATACCTTATGTAAAACGTACTCGATCCTCCTAGAATCCACACGCGGCGCAGTTGCCGAACAGGTATCGTACCGTAAAAAATCCCAAGGAAGCGAAAAAGCTCATTAGCGATGGTAATTATGCGATAATTGGAAAAATTGTGGACAATTTCTTCTTTCCTGATGACCAAATCTCGAATGATGACCTTAAGGTGATCACCGCAACTGTATTTAGATTAAATTAAGAGCACACGTGGCACTTAAGATAAACCCATGATTCAGATATTCCATGTAATCAAGCCTTGTGACACGTTAGAATTACAGACTCATGAGAGAATCGGTAGGTCGCTTCTACGCAAGTTTTGCGCTTCAACCATGGCTCCAGAGGCCAGTAAATAGGGTAAGTAATGTTAGTGTAATACCATATTTCTTTGATAACGAGTACATAATAAAGGGATTACGAAAAGAAACTTTGAGATTTTTATATTTAATAAAAAAATACCCCCAATGGTGATCGTCAACATCTTTCACGTTACATTATAAATCAACGTTAGAAAACCCTTTTTTTTCGAGGGATATCTACTATTCCCATTGTAACGTCGATTATCTACAGAACTGAATATTTCTGCTGCAATTATCTCTAAACTTTGCAGATGATGTTACTATTGAAGGAAACTGGCATCACAGTCTGGCACTTACGTAACGTCATCCGCAGACGCGATTGTAGTAATTTACGCGAGGTTCTCATCGAACACGACGGATACGACGGAAGTATTCAAGTCCTCGGACTGACCCCGTTAGCCGCTGGATTTTCATTGCTGATCGCTGGATCGTCGATGGCGGTATTCGTGTTTTATTTGGAACTGAAACGCGCCTCTGGATCTAACACCATCGGCCATCTTCTTGAGTGCATCGCCAGCAAACGTGCAGCGCAGAGCTATAAAACGTTGCCCCTAAATGGCGTTTACTGTGCGAAAGAAATCCATTTTTATGCGCATATAATGCGGTATGACAGTAACGCTGTGAATCGCGGACTTACGAATATCGATCAATAGTGATTTTCTTAAAATCAAACGCGCTGGATCGATCAATATCGATCACCTTCTTAGGTGATATTTTCGAGCGAAATCTAATCTGGCATGTTTATAATATCTCATAAGAGTATTTTCAATGATTTTGTTGGTATGACATAATCTCTTATCTTGTAGCATTATTGTACATGTTATATAGTGACTGACAGTTCTCAATCTTTTGATAGCAGTTTCATTTCCACTTGGAATTTCCTTTTATCTTGTAAGATTTTTACTACCACCGCCACGGTTTTATCACAACTTTTACTAAATTAAAAAAAATTAATGTGTAACGTAAATTGAGCTATTTCTTTTTATAGCGATCTCTCGAAGAGACCGACACTTTTCTTCGTGGTATTCTAAGAATGTAAAATTGTGAATCATATTCAAATATTTACTATCAAATCGCCTGTCAGTATTAATGCGAATTAAAATTTGTATCGATACAGAAGAAGAATTGAAATGTGAATTAAAGTATATCTTACGTTCCAACCTGTCAACCTGTCAACTTGTCTTATGTCAACATTTCATATATTGTAATTTATATACAATTTTACTATCTGGACGAGTTTATCGGTCACCACGTGCTCGTCAGAGTTCTGAAGCCGTGCGAATGAGACTGAATTGTTACTGTGTTAGTTAGATGTCATGGCTCTTCGTGGGGTAAAGAAATTGCGATGTCGCGGAGATTTAATCATACATGGTCGACGTACACAGATGTCAGTTGGATCTCGTGCACGGCACGAAGCGCATTCGATGCAGTGGCTTCGTTTCTAGCTGCAGCTTGTTCGTTTATAACGCGACGGCAGGAAAACACTGTAATCAAGCTATCTCAATTTTCATTAATTTAATTTGTGTTAGATCGCAAACTAAATAGTGATATCGTGAGTACAAATTCGTTTTTCGGCATAGAATATCTCGGATCGTTTAATAATTATTTGATATGATCAACGACAGCACGCTGCGAATAAAAGATTTTTCAAGTTGGATTTCGTTGACCTTTTGAGGAGGATCCAAGCACGATTGGTACGTGAGAATGATAGCAATTGAAAGATAATATTTACGTATGTTTCGGTGTCTCGTGTATGGATTAATTCACAGCCAAGGGGGCCACTACACATTTTTCCAAAAAAGAATCGATTTTTTTTTTTTTTTTAATTTAACCTATTCCGGATCTATTGATGTTAATTTTATCATTTTTCGATAGTTAGAAATGGCAAAAAAAATTTTTGAACAACAAATTTTGACTTCGACTTTCCAAGTCAGCGGTGGCGACTATTTGCGTTTAAAGCATTGAGGAATGCTTTATTAGCTTTATTGAATTTTTTTCACTCAAGGCATTATCACGAAAATCAAACAACAAATTGAATCGTATTTTTGGTCTATCGATATCAATTACTCAGGCTACAGTTTACCTATCGAGTCCGGACTATTTTTGTTTCACGCAGTGTTTAGTTTAAAAAATAAAAAAAATAAAGAAAGGGTGAAAAAGACACCAAAATAAATGTTGTTTCCAAAATCGTCCTGTTCTTTTTTTTGTTTTAAACTCACCGCTGTTTTTTAGTTTAGACTTTGTAGCAGAATCTAAAAAAAGTTGGGTATGTTCGAATAAGACACAGCTGAGAAAAATGTACCGAAAGATGTCAAATTTTACATAGAAAACACAATGTGTAGTGCCACCCTTAAGTAAACCGTGAAACACGAGTAACTATACGAGCAGTAACGAGAGGTTATCTCTGGAAAGTAAACGTTGATTTTGTGATCCATTTTCTGCATTATGGTTACGTGAGTAGAAAAAATGACGAGTCATTGTGATGCTCAAATTATTTTGACTGCTTTCGTTGATTGTTGAGATAACATATCTTAGTTTAATGTTTAGCTATCAGCTATTAATTGTGTCGTTAATTGTTTGCTTACACTGCTTAATTTACAAAAAAAAAAGCAATCGCGGTTTGCGATACACCTAATGACAATATGTAGATATTAATATCAACTTGGGTTACTACATGCCAATCTAGAAAATCCTCTTCTAAGTCGTAGACATGCTTCTAACCAGGCCAGTGGCTAAAGTAGGATGCTTTCACAAAGAAAGGAAAATAAGAAGTATTCAGCTCTCCCCCCCACAAAACCATACTTTACTTTAATTTATGTAGTCATGCAACACTTATAAATATTCATTTTCGCTTTATCAAGTGCCATTAATAGGTATGATCATAAAAAAAAACATTGTATAATTTACAGTTATCAGTTCGCGAATAACAATGAAGGAAAAAGGACACATCGACGATAGTAAGATACTTCTTACCTTTAACTTCGTACTCTTCTATAGAATTTAATTTCAAAACTACTCGCAAGTTATAAATCTAATTATTAGAGTATACTATTTAAATATTTAGTAATGACACTAATTTCTACTAGCTCAAACAGCCACGGTAGATGAGCACATGAAACTGATTTATGATGACAGATCAGTCGTCGATTCGAATTTCATCGACGTCACGCCAGATGATTTGCCTGAATGGTTCGACGAGAAACTGTTCAATATGTAAGCGGGATCGCGAAATCGTACGATTTGAATTGCCTACAGCAAGATAATTACTGCGAGGTAACTGATGCACTTATAATTGTAGAGGCCAGGCATTTTACATGGAAAATTTGCTGGGACACGTAACTGGAAACGTGTTAGGACTGTTGGCGGTATTGGTTGTCCCAGACATAACGGAGGTGAGGGTGTTAAACATCTTTTAATTTATTAAAAAATTGAAATTCCTGCACAATTAGATTTTTCTTTATTGCATTAAAAAAAAGTGAAAGTCTACCTGTGACAGAGAACGCGTCATTTCAGGCCTTTCACCTTTATTTTTCAGGTGCTCACGTTCACAAGGAAGAGTTCGACGATCTCCTTATCCTTCAAGCGATACGCAAGAACAGCGTTCTACATATACAATCTGTTCCGCACTGACATGCTCAAAAATGAATCAAAGTGAGTTTCTGGGAATAGCATTAACAATTGTACACGTGTGCAATTTATCTCGACATTTTCGGCGCTTCAGTTATGTTCTGTCCTCCCCACTAGAGGGACACCGCCCAAAACTCATATACATACTTATAATACATATAAGCCATTCTCGACCGATCTCTAAAACCTGCTAGGTAGGCCTACTAGGTAGCTTTAGTGACGAGTCCAATAGCAAGCTCAGGACGAAACGCTCCCTTCCTTTCAGTATCGCTACCACAATGTTTTCAAATAATTTGTTCCATGTAAACAAATTATTTAAGGTGGTTCGAGATACTGAACATAATTCGACGAGCACACACATTAGCCAGCAATCACCATGTCGATGATGGACGTCATGGGATATACATGAAGGACATGGCCATCACGCAATTCGGATTCATAGGGTACGTGTTCGCGTGTCCAGAAAAGATCGGACTGGGTCACAGCACCATCGAACAAAAAGCTGGTTTCAATCATTTCTGGCGCGTCACTGGCTACCTCCTGGGTATACCTAATCGGTAATTGCACCGAAATGATAATTAATCATGATCGATCTTCTTTACACTTAGCTCTCATCATTATCCATATCACCCTAGGCTGAATATCTGTCGCAAAACGGTAGCGGAAACGACACAGTTGTGCAAAAGAATATCACACGACATTATTAAGAAACATTTGGAGACTATTCTACCAGATAGCGAACGATTGGTACTAAATGCGATACAAGGGCTGTGGTACGTCGATCCCTTCCTGAACACTAACGGTAGCGTCGCTACCATGTACAAATTGGCTGGAGCAGAATGTTGGTATCGCTCAAGTCTCTTCGTAAACGTCTTTATTTACGATTCTATTCATTGGGTCGATGATGAACGGTTTCTTCCATTCACAGATAAGAAGCCTCTCGGATGGGTGTCCTGTTTAAACATGAAGCTGCGCGAATGGAATTTTTATCTCTACAGTAAGTGATTATTCGACTACGGAAGATAACGCGTTCTGTGGTCTGCTTAGAAACCGTAAGAACACTGACACTGTGTCTTGCGAACCTTCACAATAGAAATCGAGCCAGTTGATGTTTTATTTTACAAGCTGTAGCTACAGTTTGGCTTTCGTTTACTTAGTTTCTTTAAATATTAAAGGCACCCCTCCTTGAGTACATCAAATCAGTCCTCATATGCGCTTTGAAATTCGAGGGTTCTTTATATTTTTCAGGTGCTCCCTACATCGGGGTAGCGGTCAGGGCTTATTACAACTACTTCCTGTCGTTCCTTTTCTGGTCGATTGAACGCTATCCTCTGCTGGCCAGGATAGCATTTGGGAAGGACAAATCGAATCTATGCCTGTTTTCTAATTGATACAGTGATAGAAACTCATGTGAAAGAGTAAATATGCTGATAATGTGAAAAACAAGTTGAGTTAAAAATCGAATCTCCATTGGGATTAGAGGTTCGTTCGCTAGAGGTTGCTAGACATCGAGTTCGAGTTCTCGAGATTTAAGCGGATGGAATATCACCAATTCTCATTTTTCACTTTTATGTGATTGTCTATTTATTTTTCCATTACTTATATTCACGCTATAGGTTTTTCAATACTTTATATAGGCTTTTCGGTACTTTCTTTTTATTAGCCGGTTCTAACCCAATCTTGAAAAACTGATGGAGGGGGGGGGGGGGGCGGACGCCCGGAATTCGAACCCACGTTCTCAGCGTAGTAGTCGGGTACGCTACGTACTGTTTCACTGTCCGCCTCCCGTTACACACCGCGTATTACCGATAACCACTCGATCAGCAGTTACCGAAAATAAATCGAAGACAATAATTAGAAAATAAAATAAAAAGTATTGACAGAGCAAATGAAGTTGAATCTGGTGAATGATCCTCGAAAATAGGAAACGTGTGTCTTATGCAGTTTTTTAAACAGATTATCAAGTCTTATTGTAGCGTACACTTTATGTAATCTTACGCACATATCAATTAAACGCTGTTTAATTTCGTACTGATATTGTTCTTGGTTATTTATCTCTGTCGATTTAGCGGGGACGATCAAATACAAATAGTCGATTGAGATAACACATCGTGATCCTTTGCGACAATTTGAATTGGAAAACGTACTCGGTTCTACCAGAATCTATATGCAACTATCAAGCAGGTATTGATGGAGGTAAAGAAAAATCTGATGCTCATTATAGATGTTAATGCTTGGCATAATCATCGACTATTATTTGTTCCCAGGTGTCTACTCCTAGACAGGTTACTTCAAGGTAAAAATTGTAATTGAATTCAGATCTGTGCATGTAAGAAGATTAAATTGAGACATTTTTATGTTAAAACGTAGATAGCATACATATATCCTCATTCTAAATAGATCTCGTGTCATATACTTCCAATGTTACGTCATGTTACAATTAAAGACTGTCAAAAGAATTAATTTTTCAAAGCTATTAAAATGAACGAACCAAAGCTATTAAAATCACTATGCATACATATTTGTTGTATAACAAGTAAACAATATCTTCAAACAATATCGCTCATTTCCAAGATAACTCTGATTACCAGGACAATAATTTGAAACCACCCAGTAAATCGTTAACAGTGTCTATTCTTGTCCCGAATTCTTTTTATACCAATAATCCAAGAACTTTTGATTGCGTATGGTTTCACAAGGACTGCATCTTATAAGTGAGGACAATGGATATACGGTTGATCAAGCATTGCCTGTTAATTCATATGTATTACTCTGTATTTATTCTCTATAGTGATCAATGAACGTCTCGGTAATTCTTGTTTTCACAGATAACGCTGTTGTAGAGGCAAACTGGTATCTACGTAACGATTTTATTTATCTGTGATTCTCGTCGAGCACGACGCATTGTGCAATTGCAACGAAAGCGTGCAAATTCTTGAAGACATTGCCGAATTTTCGTTGTTGATCACTGGTTCGTCGATAGCGACATTTGTATATTCGTTCGATCACTATTGGTCATCTTCTTGTACGCAGCGTTAGTTAAGTGGGTCCATAGACGGTCAATATCATCGGCCAATATGGGTTGTACGATATTTTGACAACGGCTCATAGACGGTCAATATTATTGTACAATATTTATATTGTGTAAAAAATGGAATCGTATGGAGGCGATATTGATGGTTGTACAATATTTTGCGCAATCGCGAGCACAGACGTACAACCTCATTGTCATTATATTGTGCAACTTCAGTCCCCGCCAGAATTTCATTAAGTCATGTTAAGTGATACTGCACTCTGCTGTGTCTTAATTGGTGTGAGCGTAGGTGCGAAAAAGAAAAAGAAGACAGGAAAGAAAGGGAGGAAATGTGGCGAAATAGTGGTTTATTGATCGGGAGAAGTATACGCACGAAAAATTACTAAATGAACTGAGAATCATTAAACCCAATGATTTTCGCAACTTTTTAGGCATAGACGGAGTATTATTTGATGAACTTCTTGCTTTAGTTACTCCTCAAATTCAAAAAGCGGAGACTGCAATGCGCAGTATACCGATTGACACGATATTGCACAATATTGCCAACAGACATCATAATATTTTCTCGTTTGTGCAATATATTTTCAAAAGTTTGAATTTCGTACAATATATTGCACAACTTTCCAATTTCGTTTACACACGCTTTAGGCTTGTATGAGTGTGAATCTGTGTGAGCTGAGTGTGTAGGAGAGTCACTGGTGGGTGTGCGACAACCTTCAAAGCGTTAACGGTAATACGCATAAAGTGGTATAAAGTAAAGAAGTAAACGTTAACATGGAATCTGTATAATTTGGCGTTAAGGTCGTATTAAAATAAATATAATAAACAGATATAAAACACCAAGGGCTTTCACTGTATAAGAATCTTTCTTTTTGAACATAAAATGCATTTTCATGATAGTAACGCTAATGGTCAATAGCTTCGATCGTATGAAATCTTTACCAATAGTGAAATAACCTTTTTCAAAGACTTTGATCATCGACTCTGTATTTAACCCAAGGGTAATCTCTGTAAATTCCTTGTTTAGATACGTAACGAGATAAGACTAATGGCAATTTAAAGTTTCTGACAACAATGACACGTCTGATAACTACGTTTTTCAAGATTTCACTAGGAAAATATTATCACGCGAAGTGGCAAACAATAAATGTCACTTAAAACCAGAGTAGTGTACATTTTAAGGTACTGGTTTTCGAAAATAGCGAATAGACATTTCTTACATAGAAAATGTGGATGACCCGATCGTTTAATTTTTATTAATCCATTGACAACTGTAGAAGTTGGTTTTCGTATCCTTAAAATAGTTAGTTACATTTGTTCGCCACTCGCAATTGTTATACAAATAAGACTTGTTTGTATGTCTAGCTCAAAGTCCGTCCTAGACGAGCATAGCGTGTGCAAGAGTAAATCACCTAGAAGCTGGTAATTTCAAGGCACCGCGCGGGGTAAAGCGGGATTATCATCGCGAGTAGACTTATTGGCATTCCTCGTTACAAGCGTTAGTTAAACCTCATGCGCAGCACTGAACGGATTCAAGGCGACTTTTTCTTTACTTTTCGTCGCAACCTTTTCATTAGCAACAGAAGGGAACGAAGACACTGTAACGATTCGGAAATTTGACGCTTGTATATTTATTTGACATGAAACTTTACAATTGTGTGTACAAATTCGTTTTTTCTTAAAAAGTATCTGGTGTCAAATTACGATTTATTCTCTTAGGTGACCAACGATCTCGACAAGTAAGTTGGAAGGAAAAGTTCTCTCGGGTTTGGTTATTTATAAGCTTCCGTAAGGATTAATTTAGAATTGACAGATTAATAAGGAAATAGGTACTCAGGTATTCTGCCTCTAAGAAGCTTAGGAAAGCTTAGACAACGTCGATGAGTATTCCAATACAACTTTTTGATATCAGCTTTACAATTTTACTAGTTGTACAAAGAAACAAAAGCACCAAGTTTTAAACCAGTCTTCGCGTTAGCAACATTATCGTATTCTTGTTCTTTACATGTTAATTTTCGCTGTAACGAATTCTGCGTGCCGGTATGATAATAATAGGACGTTAAATAATTTATTGTTGTCAGTTCGCGAAGAACAATGAAAGGGGCTGGACACATCGATGATGGTAAGCGATAGAATTTTATTTCAAAAGTGTACTGTAACTATTAAAGTTTATTGGCGCAATATCTAATAGTTATACTAATTACTACTAGCTCAACCAGCCACGGTAGATGAGCACTTCAAACTGCTTCAGGTTGACAGATCAATCTTCAGCACGGAATTCGTGAAAGTCACGCCAGAAGATCTGCCCGAATGGTTCGACGAGAGATTGTTCAAAATGTGAGCGTAATCTTGTCATGAAATAGCACGATTTGATTATTGTAGAACGTACTAATTATAATAAGTAATTTAGCAAAGTTATGATTGTAGCGGTCAGGCAGTTTACATGGACAACACGCTGGGATTCTCAATTGCAACCATATCTGGCATCGCAGTAGGATTGTCCATCCCAAGCATCGCAGAGGTAACAGCATGATCATATTTGGATTAAAAATTTACTAATTGCAGGAAAAAGTAACTTGTTCTTCGTCTTAAATACTCTTCAGTAATATAAGAAAAGTTCGCGAACTATGGCGAAAACAGGAAGCGTTGTGCGTGACTAATATACTGACTCAGCTATCAACTTGTTTAGTTTTTCATACATCTTTCTGCAGACTCATGACAGCAAAGTTCACGAACAGAGATTTTTAGAAACTCTCACTGACCATAGATATCATGTAAGCAATGTAAAACAATTGAAGTCAAAACATGATCATGTATATTGAAAATTGAAGAGTACCCTAATTAGATTACGCTAATTTTGTTTTAAGATCAATGAAATCCTGTGAGTCCCGAATCTCAGATTTGAACCTCATATGAGTTTCAGAGTACCTCGCTGTAATGTCACTCGACCAATTTGTTATAATTCCCTCGTCATTGCATTTTTATCCATTTATCTAACAAAACCAAAGCTTCTCTGTGAAGGAAAATACCACACTTCGGCCTTCCTTGTTTCATTTAACAGGTTCTCATATCCACGAAGCGCAGTTCGACGGTCTCCTTATGCTTCAAGCGCTACGCTGAAACGGCACTCCTCATACACGAGCTGTTCCGCTCGGACGTGCTCAAAGCTGATTCAAAGTAAGTTTCTGGTCATTGCACTAAATTCTTAGCGAAAATGCCCGAGTCACACGAATATGTGACCCCCATGTTCAAGGTGGTTCAAGGCGATAAACGTGATTCGATGGAAACACGCGATGGCTGGCAAGAGACTCCATAGAGAAGGACACCACGGGATATACATGAGGGACATGTCCCTTACCATATTTGGATTCATAGGGTACGCCTTCATATGTCCAGAAAAGTTCGGACTGAGCCACTGTACCCTCGAAGAGATGACTGGCTTCAACCATTTTTGGCGCGTTACTGGTCACCTCCTTGGTATATCCGATCGGTAATTGTAACGAAGTGAATATTAATCGGCCTCACGTTCTCGTTGTAGACTCTGATTGCTTTTCAACGAAATTTTCCTAGGCTGAATCTATGCCGTAAAAATGCAGCGGAAACGACGGAGATGTGCAGAAAAGTCGCGCATGATATAATTAAGATACATTTGGAGGATCACTCGCCAGATGTTCACCAATTGATGATTTACATGGTCAAAGGGTTATCGTATGTCGATCCTACTCTGAATACAGACGCCATCATGTCCCTTTCGTACGAGTGTGCGGGTGCAAAGTGTTAGTTTTATGCTATGTTCACGGAAGTCTAAATGACAATTACATATTTAATCACTGTAAATGAATTTCTCTGTTTACAGATACGAAACCTCTTGGATGGAACTCCATTTTTAATACGAAGTTTCGCGAAACGGTCTTCTATTTCCACAGTAAGTGATTTCTTTCATCAAAGGCAGATTTGTGAGTTATTAATTTTAGATTGCGAGTATTTGTTTCGTTTTGCAGGTGCTCCTTATATTGGAGTAGGAACCAGGATATTTTTTAAGTACTTGGTGGGGATCATTTATTGGTCAACCGAGCACTATCCCTTGTTGGCCAGGATGGCGTTTGGAAAAGCGAAATCGAGAATTTGTTTGTTTCCAAAGATAGAGTGACCAAAGATCCTGATGAATATAGGTAATCGTGTGGGGACGGAGTGAACAATTGAAACTTGGTTCAAATTATGGACGGAACATGATCGATTGTAAAGACGGGGAAAATGCTATATTATCTTTCGTTGATATCACTTTAGCTGCTGAATGAAACGGTAACGATATCGATCGCTAGAGGTCGCCGCGTGTAGCGTGTCACTGATTAAGCGCGCAAAAATAACCGTCGATAGACTTGGGAACTATACTAATTCACTGCTGGTTAGACGCTTTTCTTAGTTCGTATGGATAAAATGAAAATCGAACTTGACAGAATTTAAGTCAAAATAATTGTGTCATCGATGATAGATGGTGCTAACGCGAACTTATTAATCAGAGTTGACAGTATCATCGATCTTCGGTAGACAGTTAAAAACACGTTTTAATTACGTTCGTTAAATGAAAGTGATAGCTTAATTTTCATATTAAAATTAACTCTGTTTTACTTGAGATATTTGATACGTTCTTCTTAAATTATTTTCGTTCACTCTTATTTCCAAAGAATCTGTTTCATAAACAAGTTTATTAATCCTCCATATTTCATTGAAATAATGAGTTGACGTCAGAAAGGATCGAGTATCGAAGCAAAAAATTCTTATAAAATCTCCCTGATTCGATTACAGTGTCCAGTGTCGCGAAACTACTCGCGACACGCAACGTCATCGATACCATGGACGATATTCACCAAATCGTTCGATAGCAGTCCATGTCGAGGAATCCATCGATATTTCTCCCATTCCCGAATCAACCACTCTCGAGCTATTTCCCCGTCCATTGGTGGCTCGTCAAAAATCAGCGATTCCAACCCACGTCAGCCATGCCTCGATATCCCTGTCCGAGGCTGGCGATAATTATCAGCCGCAATTTGTCTGGCACTGTTCTCGTCTCTGCTCCACCCACGAGCGTCGCTCGGATCTCCTCTCGTGTTCGTCCATTCGGTGCCATTATCACCCTATCCCCGCGCAGGATCGCCAGATCATTTTTTCGCGAATCGCGTGACACCATACACACAGAAATATCAACTCTACACTCTTCACAAGACTGTTAAGGTTTATTTCTTAGGAAGGTAATAGCGGCTCGTGTTATTATCGGACATTGACATCATTTGGAAAAAGGTGAAAATTAAAGGATTACGCACGTGGTGGGATATTTATGTTTACGAAGTATGTTTTAGAAGAAATTCCCCGTAATTTGACGTATCGTTTTCTTATTTATAACCGTCCTGTGGCTCCCTGTGACCGGCACCAAAAGAGGTATACCAAATTTGTCCTTTCCTGCTTCAAATGATTCGTGGATGTACAAATAACGGATAAATGATAGTTTTTTCGAAGGATTAGAAGAGTGAAGTAGTAAGTCACTCTCTTCAGCTCTGAGAGGATCATCTCCCACCATTTCAACCCCTACCATTTCATACAACCATCCCTCAGTAAGCATACCGTTATCCTAGCGACCTCGCAAGTGACTCATAAGCTAAACGTTGGTTAATTCCATAAAATCGATTCAGAATCGAACGCGGTTACCTGCGTGCGGAGAGGCTCGCCTCGAAGCTCGCACACCTCTCGCCGCGGCGTTGCGCATCGTCGCGAAACCAATACAGGACACCGTCGAGCGTGCACGAGGAAACGCCACGCACACCTGCCCCGCAGGCCCGGCGTATACACGTAGAGGAAACGAAGGCGTATGTAACACGGGTCCCGGAGTACATAATACACAGCCATATATCCTTCTGTCCCGTAGCTACTCTCCCTCGACCCTGTCGCGCCTCTCTTCACGGTTCCTCTCCTCGTTCCTTGCTTCCACCGGCCCTTCCCTCTCCCCTGCCCAACGGTTCGTAACGCCGCAACCAGCGATCTCTTCCCCTCCCCCCCTTGCCCCTCTCCCCGTGCCCTGGTTCACTCGTCCGACGTTCCCCGTTCCATCGAGTCCTCAGAGTTCCTCTCTCTCCCCTTCCCACCCCTTCGCCGTCACCTCCCCCACCTCCTTTTCCTCCACCTCCTCTCTCTCTGGCAGCTTGCACGACCTAAACGAGATGACTCGTCGCCGAGAACGGAGAGAACCGACGTTCCGCGGAGACGCTACCGCGTCGAAGAAGAACGAGGGGGAGAAAACTGGATGGAAGGGGGAAACGCCGCGCGAGGGGAAAGGGGCGGGCGGAGGGGGGGGGGTAGGTATCAGAGGCCGTCCGGAGAGGAGAAAGAAGATGGCCCTGCGGGCCCTCGTGTTACACAAAGAGATCCGCGCGCGTCCGCCTCTAAAGCCCGATCCATACGCAGCCAAGGCAACGTTGGGCGCTCTCACTCCGCGCTCCTCGAAATCGTTTTGCGCCGCTGTAAATTGCAGAGTCCTCGCTCTCTACGGCTGCCACCGTCGTCGCCCCGACGCCCGACGTCTTCCCGGGGTATTGCTTCTTCCTCTCTTCGCGTCAACTTCCCCTTGGGTAGGGAAAAGAAGATCGCGCGGAATTATGTCGCTGCGGTCGTTTCGGGGACGACCGTGGTGGTTGGGGACGAGGGGTGGGGGGCATGATTTTCGTGCAGGATTGGCGGAAAATTAACCGATCCGTGAAAGTAGAGTTCACGTACTAGCAACATTCCGGAATCGAAATGGATTTGGTGGACTGAGAAATCGAGTTCGGAGAAATTGATCTGTTGAAAATCTGCCGCGATTTTTGAATAGGTTAGGAACTGCGGTGGAGTCACTTTACTTTACGGTATGTTACTTCGATTCGTATAGATAACGATTGAACCGAGTTGCGCTGCTGGTAGCCGCGCCACTGGAGTGGAAGGGTTAAGCCCGCCAGTCGAACTTCGAGTCGGTGGCGCGCGCGTACTGAATTGCAAACTCTTCATTAGACTTCATATCAATAGATTTACAAAGAGGAATGGTGTAGGTATAAGCACGACCTCGTTTAGAGTATTTTTAATCGTGCTTGGTAAAGAGAGCCACTTTTCTATAGTGTCGCACCAATCCACTGCAACGAAGACACCATGAATGACATAAAAGTTTTCAATTTGTTTCAGAAGCTGGCCACATCGATACCAGTGCATCACCGTTTTGAAGTTCGGTCAGCGGGTTTTTGCTTTCGCAGCTATCAACCGTTCGAACACGTTTGCTCGTGTCGAACGAATATAATCGGAGGTGTGAATGACTTTACTTCAATTACCCAGTGTCTCATTTAACCATGCACTGCACATTTTTGTCTTCCACATGTGTGGTGCGATTGACAGACATTATTGCACACTTGCATCTCTCATAATACCTTCCAGCAAGCAACCGATATCCCAGAATTTCCAAACGACGACAATATCCGTCGAAAAGCGTAAGTTATGTCGTCGACGGCATCGTGACAACGCGAAAGAGAACGGAGGCGTTCGTCGTGAACAGGAAGACATAAAAATGCTGGCTGCTGGGGAACGCGTTAAGCGAGAAGTCATTTGAAATAAGCATACGCACGCATGGTACGGCGATTCGAAACAGCACTTCGACCTGAATAAATTAGCGCTCGCTTCATTTGCGTTTCCGCGCTTCGAACGCACCGCTTAGCGCCACCTTCCCCACGTACAAGTAAATACGTATGTACGCGGGCAAAGTAAATGGAACATCATCGTGCATCGCGTTACACCGTTACCCGCGATCGATACATAACTATGATGCAAGAGAACTCTTGGAGAAACATATGTTCCGCGGTGCGGCGCGATAGCGATAAAACTGTCTTGTTTCCCCGATTCGAAGGTGAATTCTATGGCACGAGATTCGCTCGCCTCGAAACTAGGAAGATATTCGGTAACTGTGTCAAGGTTACAATAAATATACCCCCTCGCCGCGGTTCGTCTTTCCAAAGGGATCAATCTTCATTAATCTTTAACTAAGCTCAACACGCGTAGCATCGCGCACCAACCGCGTATCCCGCGTCTACGTCTCCGCGAATACTCGCGAAAGTATTGAATCTTGCCGACTACTTGTTCCTGAAAATATTTATCCTCCCCTCGCTCGTAAATCCCGTATTTACGATCCCCGGCGAGCACACAAGTTTTTCCCGTAAACACGTACGCGTGCCCGTAGAAAAATACTCGAGCGTAGGAAGCACGTGCGTACGTAAATCATACTAAATCCCGGTCCTTCCGGTGCGCCGTCTCGCTTTCCGCCCTTAACCCTTGGCGAGGCCGGGCCACGTTGAAGACCGAGGACGAGCTTCCTCCCGGCTCTACCTTATGCATAATTATTCATGGAAAACGATCTTCAGAAACAGATATCTCATAGACAATAGCATCTTGGCAAATAAATTTCTCTCGATTAACAATTTGCATTAATATAGAATCAATTTGGTAGTCTTGGGCAAAATTTAAAGAATTTCATTGTATTCATGTATGGTAATGAATGCAAAAGACGACACGGTAGTTCAAGTTTCATCGCTGTAGAGTTAAGAACCCGCTAACCGTACTTCAAAGGAGTGCCGCACGCGTATCGATGCGACAGCCTCTAAAGTAAACTAAAAACTTGTACGTTTCATAACTCCACGACGGTAGCTCCGAAAAACTTCGTATAATTAATACAGTTTGAACAGAGTCGTGTTTGCAACGTTTAGAAACCCTTTCAATTTTTAAATGTAACACCCTAAACTCCAAACCTAGTCGTTGATAGTAAAAAACTTCTCAGCGTGTAAAGGGATAATTCCACTGGAGCTTAAGTAACGCGTACAATGCTGGGGGTGATTTCGTATCAACTACCCCTAACGCGAATTTATTCGTACGTACGTTTCGTGCCTAAAACTTCACGCAAAGATTGCGAGCCTCGTCCGTGGCACCATGCAGGAGCTATTACGAGACATTATCGTCGCAGGTGTCTGCGAAGCACGCCAGCGTGAGCGTGCAGGACAGAAATGCACGTATGCACGCATGCATACGTGTGCAGCGGGCAAGTGGAGAGCGTTCGTTAGGCTTTCACGAGTCAAGCTAGATAGCCACGGGCATTGCGTACGATCTCGAGGCGCGTATCGCATCCACTCGGACGACGTGCCATTTTTCCCTTCCTCTCGTTTCCCTCGCCCTGTTATCCCCCGCCTGATACCATCCCTGCTATCCCTTCCACCGTCTTTCGATCCGGGAATCCCCCTTTTCCCTTTCACCCTCGCGACGTGTCTCTCGCTCCACCCTTTCCTTTTCTTCTTTCTTTACGCGTCGTGGTTCGCGAGGTACGCGACCGAACGAGCTCGAGACTCCTCTCTTTCTCTGGATGGGAAACGACTGTCCTCCGATGCTTTCGAGCCGGCGCAACGACGACGCCGAAGACGACAAAATGCGAGCATCTCGCCGTTGGAAGAGAACAGCTACGAGACTCTCTTTCCTGAGCGTCGCGATTCTCTCGATTCGTTCGTTTCCCTCGCGAAAAAGTCCTCCGACCTCGCAGCGCACGGTTAAAATTTGTTTCAGGTGGAATGCTGGTCTTCGTAATTTGCTGAGAAGGTAGGGATATTGGTATCACTCCCTTCTATCAGTGTTGGTATGTTAGAAGTGGAGCTATAGGTCATTTCTCCATCGAGTAGCAAACTGTTCCAAAATGAGCAAGTCCAAGAAGCGAGGTCCATTAAAGGGCCATCTTTTTGGAGTGGCTTTCGCAGGAGTATTCGTCAGTATACCTGCTCTCCACTCTGATAATTCCAGATACCTTCGCAGGCGTTTAAACGCTATCGTAATAATTTTCATTTTCCGGTTACGATAATTATCTCATCAAATGCGGTACAAATTGCTCGATTAAACGCAAATCAACAATGTAATAGAGATTAACAATCAACCTGGTAATGAAATTTACAGTCGACAATTTGTCGTGGGCCAAGTTACGATAAAAGAGCATCGGTAAGTAGGATAAATGGTAATTAATGTAAATTCTAACGTTCACCCGGAATGCTTTAGGCGTTTGTTATCGCCACGGGATATAATTAATGTAATTCGAACGAGTTTCGAGATTTGCAGATGCTGTTATTATCAACGGGAACAAGTCCCTTCCTACCGCCGTTGGAATTTCCACCGTTGCAGCAGCATTCCCCATCGACGCGAGCATTGGAAAGTCGCGTTCTAACGGATATTGGCAACGCGAAGCGAGCCCAAAAGGAACGAGCTCCTCTTTCTTCGGTTAGAAGAAACGAGCGTCCGCCAATGCTTCCGAGTCGGCGCATCGCGAACGACGACGACAAAGTGCGAGCAGTTGTAATGAGTTTCTACGAAGTACCTCTATTTTCATGATTACATCGGAAGACACGGTTGACTTCGTCGCATGCGCTGGTTTTTCTTCGTTTCGCGTGCCTTGCGTACCCGTGAGATGTAAATACGGAAATCGTGACGCAACGAAACTAATTATCCACCCGTGACAGTCGACGTCGAAACGTGTGTGTGCAACCGTGGCGAGGTTGGTGCGCCTAGTTTCGACTTTAACCCAGTCATCGACACTTTCGATTTGTAGCAATTTATGGCGTTTTCATGGCTGTTGTACTTGGCAAACTCCCTTTTAAGCCGCCCCTATTTCACTCTATATTTTCACTAGGTAAATATTCTACTTTACACCATTAGAAAATTGATTGATCTTTTCTGCAACCACTAGGAAACTTAACCAACCATGATACCACATTGTTATCTAATCACAAATGACACGAAACTCCTGTAAATTTGTCTGCTGCTTTATAATTTTCTCTAGGTGTGCCTGAAATTTAGACCCCATGCTTTTCAGAAGCATCTTCAAAGGCAACCTGCAGCTGAATATGCAACAACGTTATGAAATCTAATTTCGATGAGCCTCTGCCACACTTCCACCGTACCATTCGTATATATACGCATGCCTAGAACGATCCGGTGAATATTTAACAAAGTATCCGTCACCGTGCCGTCGGAATTGGAGTGGAAGACCGAACGTCGATGTCGACGCAACGGGAGAGGTTCGCTGAAAAATTAAACTGTGTGGAAAGCAGACACCCGTTACAGGGTTGGGTCGTGTAGACCGTTCGGGTTGTTTGGAAGCCAATTAACGTAGTTATAAGGTGCAGAGTTCGAGAACACTGGAGGTTTTATTACGATTACGACAGGAAGGTAACGAGGTAACTGTATCAACCTTACGGCAGCAATTCATCCATGCGCCGCTGCTCGGGGAAAACGATACGGAGAATTCGATTATTAACCCTTTACGAACTGGCGTCGAGACGTACTCGACAATATAGTATTACCGTTTTGAACAAACGGCCAGGAATTCCCAGTACATGCGGCGAGACGGACTTTCTTGGATAATTAAAAATAGAAGTGGATCTCTGGTAGATTCTACTCGCCAGAATGGTGATTCACTTTTATTATTGATTACTTGAGAAGTGTTAAGCATAGGAAGAAAATTGCATTGGCTCTTATGCTAACCATGGCGCCAGAAGAAGAAGCGTCAGTGATCTATGTCTTCGGAATTCACTACTAGGAATACGATTTCGACGTTTGATTAATTTAAATCGTGTCAGGACTAAGCGAGAATGAATTAGTAAGAGCATATATACGTTATATAATCGAGATGGGGTGGTGAAGGGGCACTCGAAAGCGTAGAGTTCCAAGACACCCGTTGGAAACCCTTGATTCCTCTTCCGGCGTTTGTACACAAGAACACCACAGGCGAAAGCGAAATCGGCAGTAACGTAACTTTTAATATATGCTTGACGCCGGCTCTCGAGAAATGCAGATTTCCAAGATAATTCGCTTTTCCTTCTGTACGGCGTAGAAAGCGACATCGTAACGAATTACAGACACTCGGCATGACGACTAATTGATTCCACGAAACTATCTAAAGCACTCGTGCTCGACTTAATTAACGAACACTTGAAAGAAACTCGATCGTCGACACTTTCAATGTATTTCGTTGGTATGGTCGCCAATTGTTGGTATACCCCAAATGATGTGCTCCAAAATGTGTATTCCAAATGGTGTGCTCCAAGTGGTATACTCCAAAATGTGTATTTCAAATGCTGTATTGCAAATGGTTCACTCCAAATGGTGGACTCCAAATGGTGGACTCCAAATGGTGTACTCCAAGAAATGTACTCCAAATGGTGTGTTCCAAATGGTGTGCTCCAAAATGTGTACTCCAAATGTTGTGCTCCAAATGGTGTACTCCGAATGGTGTGCTCGAAATAGTGTACTCGATACGTGGCAATATCCAAAAGTGTTAAGAATCAGCAAAACTTAGCTCAGATATTCGCTGGCGTTCCGAAGAAACGCAGGGTGCACCGATCGTCGCGTACACCATTGTCCCGGTTGTCGGCGTAGAAAACAGGGACACCCGTTAGACAGTGTAGTAAGGGGAGGCGGGCCAGGTGGTCCGTCGGTGCGAATATCCATTATAGATTCGGCGGAGTGTAGCTGTCGTACGATCCTACTCATTTCCCGTGTATTCGTGCGACGTATTTCTGGCATCGACGAGAGGGAGCTTGTGTCGCTTTGGTATTGGTAAGATACTCTCGCGCGCGCGTCCTCATCCAGAACCAGAGGAGTGTTAGTTCGCGGGGGCGCCTGTATCGGCGCTCGCGGCGCCACCGGTTCATACCGCCATCGGCGCCCGCGACGTACGGACGTGGAGAGACGCGAGCACGGTTCTCCTTTGGGCGGAAAACGTGAAAAAAGCACAGAAAATCGCGCGGTAACCGTGCAAACGCATCGCGTTAACGTTCGCGTTGGATTTTAACGCGGGAGTCGTAGGTGAAACACGGGTGTTTCGACGTTATCTGTTAAATTCCGTTTAGCGTGTGAAAACAGTGCAACGAGAGCATCGAGTGCAGCAGAAAGAAGAGCATCGATTGTCCTTTGTGTGATCGTCTCGTTTACGAGCTTCTAGCGGGACGCTACCGCGACGTGTCGTTCCGGGAACACCCCGAAACGATTTCTCGTTTACGAGAGAGTCACCTTTACGTGCCTTCGTTGGGCCGAGTCGGTGTTATACCTGCGCGTCCCTCTCACAAAGTGCTGGTCCCGAAGGTCTTCGTTGAAGGTCTCCCGTGCCTCGTGCCTGAGGAGACAGACGCGGAATGATATTTCGTCGAATCGGAGGTGTTGCAGGCTCGTTAGGCGCGACGTGACACGCGAGAGAGAAGCGTCCTAAGATACGAGATTAGGTAAGAAGCTTTCTCGGCGTACCGGGGGCCCCAAACACCCGCGGATTCTATTATTTTCCCAGTGAAACAGTTAAACGCGGTATTTTTCAGTCACCTTCTCGCCTCTGCAAGTGCGAAAACGGAGAATATATTGCGAATCCTTCCCGGGGGGATTCGAGGTTGTGACACGGTTGTGCTTCGGTGGAATAAAGAAATTCGCGAGCAGATCGTAGATCTATAGGTGAGATCGAGGTATACGCTCGACGCTGCGTTGGTGTTCGTTGCCGACGACCGGCAATTGTGTTTATCTATTCCACGTACGATCGAAAAAGTGCCAAGCAAGATAAGTTGGGTGCAGCCACGGCGCGCGAGGACGTGAATTCGTTGGGTAAGTTGCGACATTATGTGTTCTTACGTATCATTGAAGTTTCAAAATTTCGGAGCAGGACTCGAGTATTCAAACAAATTATTATTATACTAATATTTCGTTGAAATTTTAAAAATTGTATACTTTTCGAATAAAACTTGGTGCATTTTTATTCGGTTTACCGCATGATTTCAATTTCACAGCCGAAATTCGAGGCTTTGTTCGACGAGTAACGGAACAAAGCGTTGTTTATCTCTCATTCGTTGTCAGAATTTTGTGTATGGTTATTTTGTTTGTCTCCAGTACTGAAATCTCGAGTAACGGTACCTAGTCTCTTTCGGTTTCTTCGTCCAACGGTTCGATTTACCTGTGCGCGTCCTGCTCCGTTTCCAACTCCATTGTCTCGTCTCGATCGGAGCTCGATATATCGAAACGTCTGTTTTCGAGCCGAACGAAAGATTCGCGCGATGACGTGTCGCTAGGTAATTTGCATCGAAAAGTTGATCAGAATTATTTTCGTGCTCCCGTCACATACTTTCACGGTTTATTCGAGTGGTTATTGTTATCTTTGGAGGATTTTCAAAAATATACATTGGAAACAGTTTTTATGTAGAACATAAAAATATCGTGAAAGATATTCTTATAGAGGACACAATGGGAACTATTTACAAATACGTAAACGTGTGTTCGACTTCTACGGTAATGACCTTTGTTATCCAAACTATAGTAGCTTGTTTTGTCGTCTACAGAAAATATATTTCTGCATTTTAGTAAGAATTACAGTATTGCTATCGTCGATTAATTTGGATAATTACATATAGTTTTGGAGTAAATAATTAATTCGGAGTACATAGTTTTGGAGTAAATAAGAGGTTAATAGACGATGTTTAAACTTGGAAATTTTTATTCGAATGAGAATTTCGCTCGGTTCATCTAGGAACATTCTTTCCCAGCTCTCAAGTACACATCTTGAATACGTAAACATATGTCGACGTCTGTCTTCTTTTCTGCCGTTACTCTGATATGATATAACACGCAATAACCTGGTTAACCCGTTATAAGAGCGGTTTACAGCGGTGCGTTAAAAACTGCACTTTATCGGGCACATCGAATACAAGAATACTGCAAGGAGCCGTAAAGAATACTCTTGGGTGATCACGATGCCGAGAGAAATCCGTCTTTTTGCCCATAACTTGCGTTTTACACGATATGGTAGTCGTTAGTTTACCCCAGTGGCGCTCAAAGTCTCTTTCGCGAAGCTCATTCGACCGGCAAAATAAACGAGCAAATTCCAAAACGCTGGTAATTTGTAAATTATATTTGTAGATTGAAATTCTGTATTGCATGCAATTATCGTTCAAAATTATTATTTATTAATGTCGGCATTATTTAGTAATGACTGGCGAGGTCAACGACCTCTAATGCATTATATTAGGTTGTCCCAAAAGTTTCTTTCGTGAATTGCATTCAATTATTTTCTGTGGCAGTGTTTATATAAATTAATTTTGTAATGTAACATAAAACATAAAATATTGTGTATGAATTAATTATTAATAAAACGAAAGAAACTTTTGAGACAACCTAATATATGTTAGAAATCAGCATTGATCCTTTATTTTAATTCATAGTGGTAAATACGCTGACAATTTCCTTAAACGTGCTCCATTTTCTTTTCATCTCTATCTAGTTCCATAACCGTTACATAAATAATATTAATTACAATCCCTTACCATGGCACCCTACCTCATAACCCTGGGCCTTGGTTTACCTTCGCATCGATTTCGACACCGCTATATCACCATTAATTACAATTTCAACAACAGTGGGTCCAAAGCTGATTCGAATCTCAGAGTCGATCCGGCACCGAATAATCATCCCACAGTACCCTAGATCATCCCATCTCTGTTTCCGCCCATACGAGCAAGCTTCCATCCAATAACGCGAAATTCATCGTCGAAAGGACGGTTTCCACGCCAATGTCGAGCTGCACTCGTAGACCGTGTGGACGCTATTAGAACGCGTTCCGCGTTCCCTCGAACGCACACACGCGGAATAATAGATCATCGTTGCTCGGGGCGTCCTATCGGGCACCTTCTTTAGGCGACTCTGAAGTCATCGAATGAAACGGTCGAAAAGAGGCTCTGCCAACTGCGAAGTCTCGCATCACTCGGTCCTCTCCTCTCCAGTCGCACTCGACGACGGATGAGTTCTCGAAGAACGCGCGGAAAGGAGCGCCGCGCATCTTCGTTCCTCTCCGCTCGGCGTCGATTTAGGTCGTTAACGGTAAAACGGCGGCGTTCAGCGCTCGCGAAACCAAAGAAGACCCGTTACGACGGCTCTCGATTTTGTTGACGTGCCCCTCGTGCGCACGGCGATCGTCCGACGCGTAATTGCACCTGCACGAAAATTGCGTCACCGGTGTTCTTAAGCGTTAACACGGTTTCGACGATAACCGAGCCGAGAAGACCCACGTATTCCTCCCGACGCGTTCGCGTAAGCCTCTATTGTGTCAAACCTCTCGTCAGAGAATTTCCTCGAATTTCCTCCAATTCGATTCAAATTTAACTATCAGGACTTTCAACCCTCCTGTTCTATAGAATTTTTCTAATGGAGATACTAGCAACCTCCAGGCGCGAGTATTGCGTCACTGGTTTCCTTAAACGTTGACACGGTCACGATAACCGAGCTGAGAAGACCCACCTATTCCTCCCGACGCGTTCGGGTAAACCTTCACGCTTATGTCGTACCTCTTGCTATAGAATTCCCTCGAAATAGTTTCAAATTTAGCGATCAGAATATTTTAACTCTCTGTGCTCCAAAAATTTGTCTAATGTAAGATATTAGATTCGATTGTCCAGTGACAGGGATGCCACGGATTTCAAGCAGATTGCAATATATTATACTACATTCCAAAATAGGAGTGGTTTAAGTCATCATTTAACGACCTCTCCTCAGGTATCCAACCTACAACCCGTCCAAAGGAACTCCTTTTTCTCGGAAAAATTCATCGCCGCTCGAGTAGTTTTCACCGAGTCTTCACTTCACAAAGAATATATCGAATTGGTACATACCTTTATCAGCGATAGGTAACCGTGTGTCGAAGGGGAGGGGGGTCCGTCGAGCGATAACGCAATGGAAGCACGTACCAACGATAGTCTCTCGGTTCGGCCACGCTCGACGTTCTGGTTTTCCAACGAAATTGCGGGGTCTGCGCCGTAATCTCGACTCCGTTGCAGCTTACATCGATGACAAATAGATCGATAACATTCGAGAAACAGTTATCCCAGCGGCCGGGCTCGCGTAGCGCGATTGGATTTTCACGCAGCGGCGGCGCTTTATTTCCGCATTTCGTTTCGACGATTCATGGCCCTTCGAGCGTGACATTGCGGCGAATCTTTGTCCGCTATGCTCGTCTATGCGCGACCACATACACGGGAAACGATTGTAAACTATCGCTGTAACAAAGGGGATGACGGTTATTTTTTTTTCGCGAATACACCCCCGCCCCATCGACGCCTGGCTTTTAATTTTTGCGAGAATAGGAATTTGAAACAAGTTTGGGCTTTGATAGGTTATTGCAAGGTGAATGTAAAAGGTATGTGAAAGTTATTGGAACACTTGCGTGGAATAGAGAAGGGGAATATTAAATTTATTTCCTGCGACTTTTTTATGTCACATTTTTTGAGTTGAGGGACAATATAGTTTTGATGTGTCCTAATAGGTAAAAATGATCAATCGTTACTTGTTTATGTCTTTGAGTCAGGAAATTGTAAGAGAAACATGTAGAATCTTTATTTTAGTGTGCCTTGGCTCTGGTTTATGATCCCTCTTCAAGTGCACTACAATGGAATGTAAACACGAATGTCTGTCGAACTAATAATAGAATTTGTATTCTATATTTTCTGGAGTCCAATTGACCACACTGAGTCAATTGGGTGACGAGTACCGAGCTTCAGCAATTCGGGGTTAGGCAACGATCGTCTCGGCCGTAAAAACTTGAGCGTTGCATGTTCGAACGATAACTGGTCGTTCGAAAACGAGGGGAAAACAAAGAGGGCGTATCTTCCGCGGCTGGATCGATTGTGTTACGAAATCGAAACGTGACTAATCGCGAAAGACGACACTGTCGACTCTCTCGCATGACGAAACGGTTTGCTTCCTCGGTGCAATTTGGAGTCGGGTCATAATTGACCCGTGGTAACACTTACACGTACATCAGAGAATAAACTTTTTTATTTGATTATCTTACTACTTTAAACCACATTTCCTAATCACTTTGGATACATGTATATATCACCAGTAATTAGAAATCGAAAACAGATGACTTATTTATGAAGTACGAACGGAGTATTTGTTTACAAAAAATATACGATGTTGGTACAAGTGTATTGATTAACTTGCTTGTTTATAACGTATGCGTAACGTAGCTGGCATCGTTTCCGAGACCGGATAACGAACACGTTGAAAATTTTTGAAAAATCAAGGGAAATCACTGAATCAACCGCGAGCGTTGCGTTAACCCTTCCACTGCGATTAATCTCATGACTAACCGTCGTAATCCGCGTGGCTCGATTAGCATACATGAATAAAGAATTTACGAATTCTTTAAGTCAACTAACTAAACACGTCGTGAATGAATACGTATTTATAACTTGGCTCGGCCGACAGATCTTCTCGCTTCACTGGGACGAATTCGTCGAGCACTTCGAGTCTCGAGGATGTGCCAAACAGTTTTCTAACTCAAATCGATTTATTGTATCGTTTCGCGCGAAATTTTCAGAATAGTGATAGGTCGGGAGTGAACAGCTACTCTTAAAGATTTTAGTATTACACTAAGTGGTTATACAACGAGATTTAGGACGCTTTATAGAATCAGAGATGAAATTTATATTTATTATTCATTTGAGATACATGGGACTATTTCCCTTGGATTGTCGAGTAAAAATAAAGTATATTTATGTGTTTGTTTTATCTAGATGATTCTTTTTTGTCTGGATAATGTCCAGCTTTGTACAAGGAGG